CAGCATCTACACAAACACGTGATAGGCTGAGTTCCGAACGAATGTACCGATGCCGAGCCTTGTCGATAAAGCACACGGGTTGAATTTAACAAAACCAAAGATCCGGCTAAGACGGAGTTGAGAGCTAGGAGAAGAGAAGAACGTAACGAACATACGACCGGAAAACTCAGAAGCCGGGGCAGGAAAGCGGTAAGAGAATGGCAATTAGCAAAGAGTGTGGAAGGGGCGGAAAGAAAAACACGCGGTTTGTCGTAAGACGTAGAGGGGACACTTAGATAAAAAGCCAAAATCCACAAGCTGACTTGGCGGCCGCCTTGCGATGCTCCTCCCGGATTCAGTGGGCGATTTCTTTGGGCTGCGCGGGAGGTCGGGGGAGGGTCGGGGGGGAGGGAGGTCGGGGAGGCGGGGTGGTCCGGGAGATGGTCGGGGGAGGTCGGGGGAGGTCGGGGGAGGTCGGGGGGAGGTCGGGGGAGGTCGGGGTGCGCTTGAAGACGAAACGGACAGGTGAGAACCCTCAGGCGGCGAGGCGGATGGTGGCAGGAAGAGGCCTCGAGCGCCCTCTACGTCAGAGCCACCGCCCACGATGCACTCCCGACCCGCCCGGGCCCACGCCCCGGGCGCAGGCGTCCCCCTCAGCTCCTGAGAGCGCTCGGCACTACGAAACTGACGGACGAGTTAAAGAAAACAACATGCTATTAGTTTTTAGTATCTTCAAATTTGAGACAATCATATAAATACCTATTGAAACGGAAACACGTCAATTATAATAGATAAGTGATATAAATAAAACATCATTAACGTTTGCAGGAACATTGTTTTTGTATGTCATCATTGTGAAGTTTTGTAAACCCATATTAAAGGTATTTTTGGATACACTAAATAGTTTATAAAATGGAATTTTATAATACAAATCATTTTGTCGTCGCTTTTTCTGCACGATGTCATTGGTCACGTAACATGTATGTCCGTATCAGTACGAAAATAACGTGTAAATAACGTCTTCTATCAGTTCTTCTATCTATGAGCAACGGAGGAAATGAATGATCATTACATTAAGGTCAAAGAGACAAATAATCATCGGATATCAATGTGTTATGTATTATAACACAATTTTACTTCAGGAACTCGAGGAGATATGTTAGATACGACTATTAAAACTGCTGTTATACAAGTATCTCATTACGCATATGAAAATTGTGGAAATTTAATAAAATTCAAAGAGTTCTTACAAACAGCCCATATATATTAAAAAACACAAGAAATTCATAAATACAACAAATATGAAATAATACAAACTCTGGAAATCTTAAAGAATAAGACAATATGATACTTAATTACCACTTCCCTTCAATTACCCTGTTCAGTTTTCCAAGTTCATAGGAATAGTTAATTTGTTGTACATTACATTTATCCAAAACTAAGTTCATTTCTCTTTCTACGCGAATTCTCAACTCTACCGGTTTACTGCATTGAAAATAGATATATTTATATTTGCCCAAGATTTTCATGGAAAGCATTATAACCCAGAGAGATGTAGACATAAAAATTGTAAAGTGTTTATAAGGGTTTTTCTCTTAACACAATTAATTCAGTAACTTCTCATATAATTTTAATAATTTTACATGGCCTTCAGGAATATAATTCTGTTCTAGTTCCTCTATAAAATATTAAGATTAAGAGCAACAACCTTGTTCTGGAAGCGATGTCAGATTCTGTTCGTCATCTTACGAGGACGCGAAGTAACGGGGTCCCATTCTCTCCGTGTTGCCGAACGCCTCTGAATCGCCGTCAAATTGGACAAAAACGCCTCACTTGCCCAAGACGTATTTTGTTTAACTCCAAATTTCCATATACCCAAAAGAAGAGCTCTGCAATCACAATTACTCTTATCAGCATCAAAAAATAATTTCATAGTTTCAATTTTCTTATTTTCAAAAATTGATTTCATAAATACCTTTTTAAACTACTTTCCAACGTTTCGCTTCCAATTCTATTTCCCCGGCTTCTAGCACGTACAGCCCCCCCCCCCTCTACAGCCCAGCCCTCCCGCGATGTGTACTCCGTCACGCAGCAAAAACAAATGAGAGCGAGGAAGGCGCCACAAGCGCGTGGTTCCTTCTCCCCCTCCACTCGCCAGAGCCACCCCTTCGAACTCCCCTTCGAGTCGAGCACACCCCTCCAAACCACGTGCCGTTGCTCTGCTGCGATACGAACTCAAGGACTTCCTGTGCGAACGCAAAAATGAGAACACACTCTCCTAACGTTCCTCAATTTTTTAACTTTTATGTACTTGTATACAATAAAAGTTAACATTATAAACTAGTTATAAAGTATATTATTAAACTGAGTAAACTATATTGATAAGTAACGAAGACTAGTGTGATCTGCCGGCGCAGTGTGTAGTTTACATGCACCAAAACATAATGAATTGAAGAAGCAAAACAATTTTTGAAGGGAAAAAGCGCAACCAAATTTTATCGTCGTACGAAATTGCGTATTGGAATCCATATTCTCAGATGATATTCACCGTTTTCTTGAACGAGAGGGATGATATGTAAGGACTGCTCTCATATGGGGTGGTCGCGGATGTAGCCATTAATGAACCACACACTGCTCTTTTCACCACAAACTGAAATCGACCTGAAAGAGTAATTGGTTTGGCATGTTATTAAGCAGTGTTCTGTTGCATGACTATGCACCCCTATGTATAACATAGATAATTTTTAACAGATATGTCACTCATTTTGTTTCTTTCTTTCTGTATATTCATATACTACAAATCATAAAACATTACAGAAGAAACCAGAGTGTCACTTTGAAGTCTTATTTTGAAAATGATAAGGAATGTTACGAAGCGTGACAAGTATTTTCTTGATTGACCCGATTAATTTGATTTTTGCGAACAAAGTGTTATTAGAACTCTTGTAAATGGATTTATCAAAACGTAAATAATTATTTCCTTAAACTAGTTTAGATGAATTCTAATTATGATAATTGTCTAATTTACTTTATTAACTAAACATTGCCTATTCGTATTAAACACATTCAAAGAAAGACTACAATCAATTTTAATTAACTTTTATTAATGTTTAAAAACATGACTAACTTTAATACATGTTAATGAAAATACTGACAGGCACCGGTCTTTGTTCAAGTCTTAAATACCAATACGTACTGTTTCGCTAAAAAAAATATTAGTAGAGATGAGATTTTCAATTTTCTTTTCGCGTAAAAACAGAATGTTAGGTAACTCTTGTGGAAAATACCTATAACTTGTAATCATCGGCCAATGTTAAATATCACATAATCAGGAATCTTCTCAAATAACTGTAAGCATAACTAACTGTCTGACAAGATTTATCATTCTTTGGAACTTTTCTCTCTGTCTTCTTACCCTTATGCAGATCTTACTGTATGATTTATTAAGCTCTTCTTTTTTTGATCAACTTATCTAACCCAGGAAGTCTTTTATACTTCTTTCTGAATCATTCTATATCCCAACTATTTATGATATCTTTTTTCCTATTGCCACCAACTTCTCTCAAATTTTTCCTTTACATCATTTGAAAAGTTCTGCTGAAATGTTATGCTCCAGAACTACTTACTGCACACAAAGTCATCAAGAACACATACCTTCGACAAATTCCTCGGAACCCTTAAAGCCGACGCCTAATTCCCAATATCACCTTTCTCAGAAGTGTTCCGTAAAGTAAAGCAGTTTACGCGGTACGCTTGGCTTTCGGCCAGACGCGTGTTTCTAAGGAGGCGGGAGAGTCCGAGAGGGAACAGAGAAGCCGAAAACAAAGTGCGTTCGCAGCGCCGACCCACCCAGCCCCTTCCTCCTCCCACCACC